AATGCATAATACAAAAGCTCTGCTGTGCCTGATGCAATTGCGGGGTTTTGGCAGGGGGAGGATACCCCTTTGTATGTCATTTTGCCTCTATTTTTCTGTTTTAAAATATTTCTATATGTAATTTTTAAATTATGAATATGAACAAGTTTACTATGATGAAAATTCAGTATCAGAAACTCATTGTAAGCCATTATACAATTTAAAAAGAAAGCCTCTTACCTCTTAGACACAGAAAAATACTTTGAAATAGAAGTTTATAATTTCTCTTACTAACTTTCTTTGTTCTTTTTCCTATGGATAAAGCCGTTTTAATAAGAATAAAGTAAAATTTTAGCAATATGATTAAATAGAATACAACTTGCATGGTCAGCAAGGAGACTATATGAGCAGTATTGCTTAGGAAGAAGTTGAATGTTCTTTGTTGAAGAATATATAGCACAGGTAGATAGCATAGTTAGGGTACCAGTCCCAAGAACAAGAGTCAGGGTACCAGTTTCAAATCTAATCTCCTTGTACCTTCATTTCCTCTTTTATAAAGTGAGCCTAATGAGAATGCCAACTCCCTAAGGTAGTTTTGAATATTAAATAAGTTATGGTATATAAAGTATGTGAAAGCAGATCTAGCTCACTGAAGTATTATCTATTATACTTATAAACAATTTCTTGTCACTTAAAAGTATAATTAGGGTTAAGGAGGTGGTATTGACCAACCCACCAACAAGGGAGCAACAAGTGATCCAAAATTAGTGACAAGGAGGGTGTGAGAGATCTGGTAGGGATTCAGCAAGGGCAATGTAAACGAGAGAAATTACTGAAATCCAAAGGAAGGCTGAGCATGGTAGTGGGACAAGAGGAAAGTAAAAGGAAATAGAAGAAAGGAACTATGTGACATAGGGAATTTATAGAGGTCTAAATACAGGCATGTACATATGTAAATATATTTATAGGATGGTGGGGAAATATATCTATGTGCATATATTTATAGGTTTAGTATTAAGGCAGCAGATGTACATTGGACCTCCACTCAAGTACTTACTCAATGCAAGAACACGTTGTTCTATTAAATTGGCATTCCATGATGCACACCTTCCTGACACGCTCGCTGAAGACAAATATGTGCATGAGCAAATGTGAAGAAAGCTGATGGTGCCTGGCTATCAAAAGATAGAGCGTCTGGGGTCTTAAAAGTTAGTAGATAAACAAGCGTCCATCTAGCTGAGAAGCACCAAAGCCCACATGGAAGAAACATGCCAGCCTGTGTGACCATGAGGTGTAGAAGGGACCAGGTATCAGACATCAAAGAACAAAAAATCATATCAGTGGGTGCCCACCTTCCCAATATGATCACTGAAGACAAATGTGTACATAAGGAAATTTGGTGAAGAAAGCTGATGGTGCCTGGCTATCAAAAGATAGTGCCTGGCTGATGGTGCCTGGCTATCAAAAGCCTACAGAAAGGGTTATATATATTATGAAATGGTCATTTTTCTGAAGAGAATATTTTACTTGAAATGCAAAGGACCGAAAGAGATTTGTAGGTTGTTGATTTTGTTACTTCATACTGGAACTTTGAAAAAATTTTTCATCAAATAAAGTTTGGTTTTCTACTTTAAAAAAAAAAGCATCTGGGGTCTTAAAGGCTTGAAGATAAACAAGCAGCCATCCAGCTCAGAAGCAAGAAAGCCCACATGGAGGAAGCACACCAGCCTGTGTGACCACGGGGTGTTGAAGGGATCAGGTATCAGGCATCAAAGAACAAAAAATCATATCATTGTAAATGAGGGTGAGTGCAGAGTGGAGACTCAAAGCCCATCGGTGGGCAACTGGACATCCCCTTATTGAAGGGTTGTGGGGAAGAGATGAGCTAGTCAGGGTGCAGGGTATCAATGACAAAACATACAACTTTCCTTTAGTTCTTAAATGCTTCCTCTCCCTCCACTATCATGATCCCAATTCTACCTTACAAATCTGGCTAGACCAGAGGATGTACATTGGTATAGATAGGAACTGGAAACACAGGAAATCCCGGGCAGATGACCCCTTCGGGACCAGTGGTGAAAGTGGTGATGCCTGGAGGGTGGAGGAAAGGTGGGGTGGAAAGGGGGAACCGATTACAAGAATCTACGTATAACCTTCTCCCTGGGGGATGGACAATAGAGAAGTGGGAGAGGGGAAACGTTGGACAGTGTAAGATATGACAAAATAATAATAACTTCTGAATTATGAAGGGTTCAC